GGAGCCCTGAACTGTGCCAAGGAGGGTGCAACTGACTGGAGGCCAGGAGACTCATTTTGTTAGGAAGAGTAGCATAGAAGGAATTTATAGACAAATCTGGAGGAAAGAAAGATCAGAAGCAGAGAAACATGTTTAATCAAAGAACTAGAAATATGCAAAATATTTAGGCATTTGTGAATCTTGTTTTTAAAGCATTCATATCTTTAGGGAAAAAAATATAAGTGAAATATAAGTGATCCAAAATTTTAACTAAAACATATTTTTGGCACCAGCAACTGCATGTAATGTAAGAGCATATTAGAAAAAAAAAGGATTTACATTTCTAGATTAAGATAATTTTCTTTTTCCTTATGTTGCTTCCATAGATAGTAAATGGTCAAAATTTTTTAAATTATCTGTGTTTCTTTATAAGCCAAGACGCACTTGTTCTTTCTTTAATCAGCTGATTCATCTAAACACCTCATCTTTGCCTTCCCGTCTCTCAAAAGTCTTCTAGGTATCATTCATTGAAAGAACATTTGTTTTCTGGCTCTGAAATTTTATTTTCGCCATCTGTGCTTTTTCTTAGGATGAAGAAGGCTTTTCTGAAAACCAGAACACATCAGGAAATGACAACTCAGCAAGCAGCAGAGATGTGCAAAACAGAGAGCCTGAGAACAGCGAGCAGGTACGGCTGCACAGCAGCCAGTGCATCTATCACCATGGCAACCGCCGCGCAACAGCTCTGGGGACGCAAAGCACGGTGCTCAGCTGGCATGCGGCGGAATGAGTTAAATGGTGATGAATGTGTGAGGCAGTGGCATGAGGAAGACACACATGCCCAAACAAAGGTGCTGTGTTTATGCATCTGTCCTCAGAGTTCTCAGATCAGGACAGTACCCAGGCTTTCTCTGACTCTTCACTGTTACAGATTCCAAATTCCATCCCAAGGCAGAGAGCACTGTCTTCAACAAAAATATCTCAATATACAGTAAATGAGCCAGACAAGAGGAAGGTTCTAAGATGTGGTTCTAAAACCTGTCCGTCAGATCCTAGGATTCCTCAGTGACGCTTACACTTACACAGCAAGCTGAGGTGCTCTGTGACAACACCATCTCTCATTTCTTTTATATGTTTAATTCCTGGTAGGGTCTCTCTCTCTCTCTCTCTCTCTTTTTTTCCTGAAAGTATCTCTATTATGTGTTCACTTTTGAAGGATATTTTCAGTGAGTATGGGATTTTTTTTAATTTTAAAATTTTTAAATTGAAGTGTAGTTGGTGTGCAATATTATAGAAAGTTACAGGTGTAAGACTCTCATTTGAAGAAAGCTTTCTGCTGCTAAAAAGTGAGCAAATTATCCATGTACATCGTCCTTTAAAAAGTAATATCGGGTGCCATTTACTGGAGGCAGTTGGCCCTGGATAAAAGAATAATTTATTTGAAGTAAAAAATGTGGGAAGTGATTGCAGCAAAATTTGGAAGACAAAAAAAAATGACCTGTAATTCCAGAAAAAAAGTCAGTGCCTAACATATTGGAATACAGCTTGCTTTAATACAAGTAGGTATTAAACATCCACATGCATGTGTCACCTATATGGGGATCATACTTTCATATGATTTGCTAATTGTCTCATTCAATTGATACATTGTAAGGGGCTCTTATCACTAAGTATTCTCCAACCAAAAAAGGAGAAAAAGATACTTCTATTCACACAAAAAGCTGCACATGGGTGTTTATAGCAGCTTTATTCATAATTGTCAAAACCTGGAAGCAACCAAGATGTCCTTAAGTAGGTGAACAGATAAATAAAACTATGGTCCATCCAGACAAGGGAATATTATTCAGCACTAAAAACAAAGGAGCTACCAAGACATGAAAAGACATGGGGAGCATTACAGGTGTGTTACTAAGTGTCAGAAGCAAACTGAGAAGGCTATATACTGTGGTTCCAACTACATGACCTTCTGGAAAAGGCAAAATGTGGAGACAGTAAAAAGATCACTGACTGCCAAGAGTGGAGGGAGGAATGAATAGGCTCAGAGGACTTTTAGGGCAGTGAAAATACTCTGTATGGTACTGCGATGGTTGATAGATGTTATTGAACATTTGTACAAACCCACAGAATGTAAAACACCAAGAGCGAGCCCTAATGTAAACCATGGACTTTGGCGTTTCACCACTTGTGACAAATGTACCACTCTGAGGGGAGAAGTCAATAAAGCGGGAGGCTGTCTGGGGGCAGGGAGTGGGGGGGGATGGTGGGATGGAAATGCATGGGAAATCTCTGCACCTTCACTTCAGCTTTGCTCTCAAAAGTCTTTTTTTTTTAATTGTTTCACCAAAAATTAAAAACAAAAAAATTAGGTATTACGGTAAACAGAAATATGAAGAGTGAGAAGCAGCTACTGGATTTGGCAACAGTGGTCCTTGGGTGACCATGGCAGAAGCCATAAGTAGAAGTCTGGCCCCAGGGAGGTGAGAAGCGAGCGGGATGTGAGGGAGTGTCGCTAAACGTAAGGGTAACTCTTTCAAGTGAAGGGAGGGTACACGTCCTGTGACTGTGGGGTCAGGCAGGTTTTGTTGTTACTTTGCTCTGCTTTAAAGATGAGAAAGAGGGAGGGTGTACAGCTCAAGTGGTAGAGCTCATGCTTAGCATGTACAAGGTCGTGGGTTCAATTCCCAGTACCTCCTATAAAAATAAATAAACCTAACTGCCTCCCCTCACTGCCAAAATAAAATAATACAATAATAAATAAAGATGAGAAAGAGTTGGCAAAACCAGAAAAGAGAACAATAGTGGGTCTAGACATTCCATATAGTAGGCAACGTGGGACAACTTCTCTGTAAGAAAATAATAATTATGATCATTTAAATAAAAAATTTACCAGACTTGGACTCTTGACCAAGCCAGGTGTTAGATGGGGAAATGAGTAAGGCCTCTCTCCACCCTTGACCTCAGCAGCTGCGGCGTGGACTTGGCTGGACTGCCCTGCGATTACACCCTCACCTTCCCGGTACCTGAGGCCCAGCCCAGAATATGAACAGAGTCTAGGTCAGAGCGTGAAGCGAGTTTGGCGTCCAAAGACTGTATGATCTCTGAGGATCCTTTCAGCTCAGAGATGTGCTAATAACTCATTTCTATGTTTTTTGTTAAAGTAAAGAGAATCAAAGGCCTCATGGGATATGACAAAAAACCCAAATCTGAGATTCGGCACTTTACCTCTTAGCGCATGTTCAAAACTGCTCCACAGCGGCACACGTCCTTCCCGCCTTCCCTTGCCTTTGCTCCAATAGCTGGGCCTGTTTGAGACATTATTGCAAAATTGTGCGGAGGGGGCCAGGATATCCTCTACACCATCACAAGACTAGGGTGGGTCATGGATATTTAAGAACTCAAATAGTACCTGGAAAGACTGGCCATGAAACACAGCCCAGGTATGCACTTTGCTCAATTAATTAGAGCAAGGCAAGGGCTAGCTCTAATTGTTGAAATAGCTCCCTTCAATCCAACTGAGAGGAGAACCCCAGTTTCCAAGGGTAGCTTAACAGCTCTTGATAAGGCTGAGCAAGTGTTCACATTAGCAGACCAAGCCTCGGGCTGCCGGGAAAATAGAACCAGCCTTCGTCTCCAGCCTTTGAAAACTGGGCCCGGCAGAGAACATAAAGGGAGATTTATGCAGCCCCTGGTATTAATTTCATTTAGCACTTGCCTGAAAACAGGGCAGGAGTTAAATGATTACAGTAGAGACAGGAACAAAAAGCAGAGATGTTAGCCTGTTCCCTGAAGAAATGGAGAAAGTACCAATGGCTTCTCTTGAAGTGAAGGGAGAAATGTGTGGGAGCCCGGGTTTTCTGTGACAAGGGGAAAAATGTCTCTGCCATAGGTAATTGGAGTCAGCATCTTGCATAATAATTTCAAAGGACCTTTTGGCAAAATTTCTTCACCAAAATTCTGAGCAAAAGAGATCAGAGTCCATCATGCTCAGTATTCTCATTATTCCATCTTTGTTCCAACGTTTGATTTCCAGGGCCAAGAGCGAGTCACGATTGAGCAGGATTCCCCAAGGAAGGACGAAGATGAGGAGGATGAGCAAGACACTCATCAGAAAGGGTAAAAACTTAAGCCAGAGGAGTAACTACACCGAGCTCCTAAACAAAGCAGTTTTGCCACTTTTTTTTATTCTCATCTAATTTTTAACATGAATTATGATTTATCAGAGGTGGTCAGCACCAATCCCCCCTCCCTACTATCCAACCAATTTTTCAGAAAAATTGATGGAGCTCTAGGATAATCAACAAGTAAATTCCAACTGCTTATGTCCTGGGAACCCAACATCCAGCACAATCTTCTAATTAAAGGTGTAAATTGCCAACTAATTGCTCCAGTCCATACAAAAGTAGTTAATTCATCTTCTCAATTTTCAATCAATAAGCAATTGAGTTCTCAAAACCCAATTCACTTGAAATGCCAACAAAACTTGCACTTGCCTTGTTGTATCATGAAAATACCCCAAGTCTTTATCACCCACCCTTATCCCACTAGCAGGAAAGGCAGGCTGTTTTTTTTGGTTGGTTTTTTTTGGTTTTTTTGATCAGAAAAGTTAAGCTCGGGAAACTGATTTACCCAAAGTTCATCAGCTAGAGTGGAACAAAGCTAATTTAAATGCCAGCTTCTGATTCCTAGACCAAGATTGTGTGGTACTTGATCATAACACTAAAGTATTTGTAAATTTTCTGAATTCCTATTTAAATATGACTTACATTCCTAAGTTTCTGAGGAAACTTGTTTTTATGTATCAGAAGAGATCTCTGGAGTTGGTCAGAATTAGGACTGAAGGCTCTTGTCCAATATACATCATTGAAAATATTTTACCACCTTGGAAACCTGAACTTGGTTTCATCCTTCATTTTACTCTATGAATCTCTGACCCTGGGGACTGAGAGATTCTCCTGGGTAGTCAGAGGTATTCAGGTTTCATCAATATTAATGGGATGGAAAACGACCACCAGGAGACGGAGAATTGTGCAGCCTAGGTAATCAAATGGCCGAAGCATCTATTTCTAGCTACTTCATTTTATGCAATGTCAGATTGCCGTAATGGCCTATGCACATTCCCTGCTATTAAAAAAATTTGATAAATTCAACCCAAAATAGATGAGTGCGCCCTATTCAACATTGCCTCCATCAGCGCTACTTTATAACACTGTATCCAGAACTGAAGATGATGTATTATCAGCCTTTCCTAAATTAGACCATGAAAACATTTAGTATTTACTACACTAACATTCCCTCAATATCTTCTAGGACAGTCTTTCTAATCCTCAGTGCACATATGCACACACATACATAAGACAAAAGGTTCATGAAATAATGCCTGCCATCACTCTGTGTGATACACCCTGAGATATCCTGTTCTTTTGTTTAACAATGGTTATCACGCAGAGTGACTGACTTCCCAACCCACTGATGGGTCTCAACCCACACCTGTGAAAGATTGTTCCAGAAAAGCAATACACACTCCCATTTCATGTATCTAATAATTCAACAAAAGCCTGCCAAGCACTCCATGTCCACGGTGCTGGTGTTGTGGGGCTCACAGAAATCCATTCTCCACAAAGTCACAGTCAGTTAAGGCTTCACAACAAAACACACTCAAAGGTGACAGTAGGAGTAGATTGCAGAGGAATGCCTCTGTCTGAGGAAATGCAGGAAGGCTCTGTAGACATGAAAGGCTTGAGCTGCGCCCTGAAACTTGAAAGGGGCTGCTGACACTTGGACTTTGGGGCATCACTGCTGGAGGGAAGAGAACTGGAGGCCTTCACCAAGAGGAGGGGAGGTTCCAGCTGGGGGCTGAGGCCTTTAAGATCCTGGAGATTGAGAATCTTCTGGACGAGAAAGTGATTGTTTCAGAAATCCTGTCCAGTGACCTGGAAGTGGTCATGATTAATGGGCAAGAAAATCCCTTCCACTTGGCCTCAAGCGGGAGAAGGAGAGGCCTCCGTTAGAAGGCACACTGAAGAAAGAGGCAGGTGCAGGGAAGCCTGCTCTCAGAGCAGGCAAGGTAGGGCCAGGGGCACCCAGGAGAAGTAGAGGGCCGTCGTCCTCAGGATGGCCCTGTGGCCTCTCCACACTCCTCACTGGTGGACACCGTCCTCCCTGGAAGAAGTGATCAGAGGCTCAGGTTGCTCACACACTACACACCACCCTGTAACAAAGCTCTGGGCCGAAGCAAAGACAACACCAATTCCAGAACCTTCTGAGAAAGCTATATTACAACTCATCAGTTAATAGCCCTGAAATCCTACTTTACATTTCAGGCATCTTGTGAAGCCCATCAGTCTCCAGCTAAAGAGGGTGGTGACTGCAGACAGGGAACAACCAGCTTGCTCAAACTTTGGGACCCAGAGGCGATGAGAGTTCATTGGATTTTAATTTTTTTTTAAGTCAAGGTTTTGCATGAGAGCTTAAACGCCAATGGAGGTCCTCCTAACCCAGTGAGAAACACTCTCATCCTATGATTTAGTTCCAGACCATATTTTCTGCATTTCGAACTACTTGGAGCTTGGCACATCCGTTCAGCAAAGGTTGATCCCAGCCTTGGCTGATTTTAATCTAAAATGAAATGCATTTCTTATTTCTATTTTGTAGGACACACACATCGTGAATTTGTTTGCTGCTTATTTGATTCACAAAGCCTCACCTAGCTTTAGTGGGCCACGGTTATTTCGTGTGTATGGTGGTGACTTTTGCCTGCCTTCTTGCTTTTGTGTTGTTACAGGTGCCTGGAAAGGAAGTGTGGTACAGTTTGTGATTTTTGTAAGAAACACAAAACCACCCTTCAGTACATCATCTGGGGCATTTTAATAGCAAGTAAGTAACAAAAGGGAGTGGCCTCTTTTCCAGGATCCCTCAACTATTACCTTTCTGTAGAAAACAAATAAATCTTCCCTTTTCCCTGGACTTCAATGAACCATCCAGAGAGGAGAGAATTTAATCAAGAGGCCCCCAAGGGTGGGGTCTCAGCTTGGAAAGCCCATGTAGATAGTCCCCCTGCCTGTTTAGGCAGCCAGTGGCTGATTTTTTAGGTCACTTGCTCTAATGACCTTTGTTATTGTGGTTTGGACTTGAGAGTTCGAGAATGCAAATTCAGGTAACTGGAAAACAGAGTGATAATCACAAGGCAGAAACCTAACTGAAGGGGTGATATGAGGAATCAATTGATACTTTATCTGCACACAACATGGGGAGAAGTCTCAGGTCACTCCTCTTACCTGAAAGCAGGACCAGAGATGTCTTCAGAGGCGAGCAGGTGTCCTGTTTTAATTCCCTCTAAAGCAAAGGGGTCTGGGCCCATTTCAAGGAACACTCCTGTCTATAAAATGTGAACCCTCTCACCCAAGTCCACAGACATTAATCCAAGCCCCCTGCCCCAGGAGGTCAGTGAGTTTTTCTGGTGCTCACAAAGCCAGCACAGGTAGCAGCAGGGTTTAAGGTTTCTCTGCACCAGTCTGGAGAGCATTTTGCAGACCATACTCAAAACCGCACAGCTGTGCCACTGTAGCACAAAGTGAGCAGATGGTGTGGCTGTGTGCCCATGTGACTTTATTCATAGAATACAAATGCAAATGTACAAATACAACTGTACTTGCCACCTGCAGAAACAAGTGGTAGGCCAAATTTAACTTGCAGACAAAGCCATGTTTGCTGACCTTTAATGGAAATCCTTGTTCTTATCCTAGAATCTCCTCTCCAGAAGCCTTCACCTTGGTAATCATACCTCACCACCCCCACCCCATTTTCCTTTAGAGAGTCTGTGGTACTTAGAGATTGTGGTGTGGCACTCAAAGATTTTCCTACTCAAGCTTAGGCCAAATCTGAGCTGCAAACCAAGAGAATCCATACTTTTCTTGCCAGTGGTTGCTTTAGTGCCTGGCCTTTCTCTGCAGGCTCACCTGCTGAGTGTGAATATCAGAAAAAGTTAGTATTAAGCAAGACACTCAATGATCAAGCAACAAGATTCACTAATTCAGAAGGTTCTTTAAGGAAAATGTCCTAGCACCCTGTCCTCCTAGCAAACTTGGTGACACTTAAAAAAATGTATAATGATACTATATACAGAAAACCCAAAAGACTCCACACAAAAACTAGTAGAGCTGATAAACGAATTCAGCAAGGTAGAAGGATACAAGATTAACATACAGAAATCTGTTGCATTTCTTTACATTAACAATGAAACTTCAGAAAAGGAAATATATACAATGGAATACTACTCAGCCATAAAAAAGAATAAAATAATGCCATTTGTAGC